AGTCATGTATTTTTTAAAATCAATTCTATTAGTCTTTGTCTTTTAACTGGTCAATTTAGTACATTTACATTCAGTGATGTTATTGACAAATATGGATTTGTTGATGTCATTTTGTTATATTTTTTATGATGCTACTTGTTTTAGTTTTCATGATGATTTTTCACGTTGTCTTCCTGTTGTTATTTGCTTGTCCTCTTCACACTCTCTTTGCTTTTTCTGCATGTTTATCCTATTCTTTGTCTTGTTTATAAGGTTTTCATCTTCTTTGTTTTCTTGAAGTTTTAATTTTTTCTTTGTAGATTGTTTTTTGTGTGTGGGGTTTTCTTTTCAATTTCAAAGTAGTTTGTTGTATTTTGTGAATGGTTCAATATCTTCTCTGATCAAGGATTTATTGTCTGCTCTGCACCCTCTGATATTATTTACTTATTATTATCTTTATAGCATAATGTTGTCTACAGTTCTTTGTTTTAATATATTTGGTTATTTCATTCTGAGTAATCATTCAGTGGAATATTTGCTCCATGATCATTTATTTTTTTAATATTTTTTGGTTGCTCCCTTGGTGTTGTTATAGATTTTTCTGTCCATAGAATTCCTTTTTATATTTTTGTGAGGATGATCATGTTTTTATAAAATTACTTTCATTCTTCTTTTTCTGTAAATGTTTATATTACTCCCTCATATTATTAAAACTTTTATTCAAAAATCATTTTATTTGGGGCTCTTACAGCTCTTATAAGAATTCATACATGAGTTGTATCAAGCATATTTGTACATATGTTGCCATCATTATTTTCTAGACATTGACTTTCTATTGAGCCCTTGGTATCAGCTCCTCTTTTTTCCCTTCCTCCCTAGCCCCACCCTTGTGATCCCTTGATAAATTATAAATTATTATTTTCATATCTTACAACAACCACTGTCTCCCTTTTCCCATGGTTTCTGTTGTTCTACTCCTGGAAGCGAAGTGAGATGTAGTCATGTGTCGATCATTGTGATCGGTTCCCCCTTCCTCCCCTCCACTCCCCACTTTCCCCCTAAACTTCTGGTATTGCTATTCACATTCCTGTTCTTAGATTCCGTGTGTCATAGGCTCTTATCTCTTAGCTCTACCTATTATGCACATGTTCCAGTCTAGCCTGCAGTGAAAGGCAGTACTGGGGTCATGATAGTGGGTGTTGAGGAAGCCTTAAGGAACCAGAGGAGGATTGTGTGCTTCATAGGTGTTTTACTGCACCCTGATTGACTCATCCCTTCTCTGTGACCCCTCTCTGAGAGGATGTCCCATTGTTGACATATGGGCTTCCGGTCTCTGTCCCGACCCCCTTCATTCTCAACAATATGTTTTTTTTGTTTATTTTGGGTCTTCTGATGCCTGTTACCTGATCCCGTTGACACCTCATGCTCGCACAGGCTGGTGTGCTTCTTCCATGTGGGCTTGTTGCTTTTCTGCTGGCTGGCTGTTTGTTTAACTTCAAGCCTTTAAGACCCCAGACTCTATATCTTTTGATAGCCAGGCACCATCTGTTTTCTTCACCACACTTACTTGTGCACCCATTTTGTCTTCAGTGATTGTGCTGAGAGAGTGAGCATCACAGAATATCAGGTTGTTAGAACAAAATGTTCTTGCATTGAGGGAGGGCATGAGCAAAGACCCACTATTTCAGTGTGTTGAGGAATAATTTTTCCGGATTGGTTGGCAATTTTTTTCTTTTAATATTTTGAATATATCATTCCAGTGTCGTCTTGCATGAATGGTTTTGATGGAAAAATCTGAACTTATTCTGATTGCTTGACCTTTTATGTAATTCTTTTTTTTTTTTTTTTGCCGCACAGTTTTCAGGATTATTTCCTTACTATTAATATTGAGAAATAATTTTATGGTCACCAGAGATTGGTTAGTCTTTCTTTCTGTTTTTTCTTAAGTAGTATTACATTGTTTTTAACTTCAAATTCTCCTTATATTAACTTTGTTAGACCCCAAAATCCATCACACTGATGATGGATATTTTTAATGAGAATAATTTATATCTAACAGTAGCTGGTAACTTTTATTCTTGCAACTAAAAACTTACTAAAATTTAATTCAGTTATTGGGAGACTTTGGCAATTAATTTTCTTTTATTTTTCAATATTTTAAGCAGAAATATTACTCATAACTTTTATTCCCTAGAGGATATTGAAAATAATTGCAATTTATGTTTTTGCCTCAGTTTTCATTATGGCATTAATTATGATATTAAGCTGTAATAAAGCAATACTTCTAACTTGGTATGGCATGTTGTTTTTTTTCTCCCTTTACTAAGGAATCTAAGACTAATTTTTACACAATTTCTCACTTCTGTTTTGTTAGGAGTTTCCTTTCCTCTACTTTGTCCTAAATAAAGCTGTCACTTTTTCTTCTTGTTTCTATCAGGGTGCCTGCCCCTGACAATCTCACCTATTCCCTTCTATTTGTTTTTTACTTCTAATGTGTTATAGATTTGTATTTTTTATTTATTAATTTACATATAATGTGTGAAATTATATATGAAATCGGTTAATAGTATATGTAACCAAAGCAGTTGGGTTGTAAAATAAAGGTCATTATCACTATTTTGGCTGTGTTCTGAATAAGCAAAGTCATTAGATAGGTGAGTTTTATATTAATATGCATATCGTTATGCTACATCTTACTTTTGTTTGGGTACATAACACATACACACCTAGTGTTTATAATACACTAATTCCACTCTTACTCTTCCTAAGTTAAGGTAGGTGTTGTGTGATTAAAACATGGTGGGTTCTTTGTTGTAACACTATGGCTCAACACAGTACTCTACATATGTAATTGAATTCAAATTCTACCAACTAAGTATGTTTTTCCACTACAACATTTTAAATATGTTTATGTATTTTGGAACATTGTTAGCAAATTCATCATTCTGGCCAAATGTACTTTTCTTTCTTGAAAAGTCAAGACCTGGAAACTTATTTGAATATTTGCAAAATTCTCCTTTTTGGACAATAGATTGGAATTTAATTTATCTAAGACATTTATATTTAACATTCCTCAAGTGTGTATCTTAAAATCTTTTTGTTTTTCTCCCTCATCTCTTTTCCATTTGACATTTATATTAGTATGTCCCTTGGCATTTACTTCTCACTTCTGCTCTTTAGTGAAAGTAAATCACAGTGAGTTTTAAATTCACACAACCTCATTTGAAGCCACATGAAATATCTCAGCTTTTGAATTTTTGTTGCAAAATATGAATTTTAACATTAAATTGCTAGCAGATATGAGTATTTCAGGAGTTTTGCATCACTACTTATGGTGAAGTGGAAGGAAACTGCTTTGATGTGAATTGCTTTTGAATAATTTTCTTGCTACTTACTTATAATTTCCACAACCTACTTTCTGAGCATCAATTTATCTTTTATTCTTTTTTTTTTTTATAACAGTTTTATTAGAACTTCATCCATGTGTCATACAATTCAATGATTCAATCATATCAAGAAGAGTTGTACAATTATCACCACAGTAAATTATTGGACATTTTCTTTTACCTTGTTCTCATAGTTATTTATGTAATTATTTTTTATAATTTTGGCAAAAATATGCACAATAAAATATTCTCTAATTCCACAACTTCTACATGTATAATTCAGTTCCTAAACATCAGTTTCTTCATATTTAACTAGGAATATAGCATTGACCAAAAGATCTAGTATATATGAAGAGCACATAATCGATATTCAATACATGTTATCTTTTATTAGTAGTATTACAGCATCATTAATTTTGTATATAATACAAATAAGCATTTAAAGTTGGATAATTTATATGTTATTAAAAAACACATCATGCAAAAGTCAACCCCCCCAAAATACAATGTGTACAATGTTTATGCAAGGTTAGTTCAATGAATTCTTAAAAGAGTTTAAAACTAATAGATGATTTTTAATAGTTTATGATTAATCACATTATGTAATCTAATATGTTCTCCTGCCTGATTCAAGAAGAAACATGATTCACCATAATAATTCAAAGATAGTAGTAGTATATTACTTATGTAAAAATATACTTTGTAACTAAATTCTGAGTGTCAACCACTGGTATTGTTTTTATTGATAATGTTATTTATGTTTATAAAAGCAATATATAATCACTATTTAAAATTTGGTAAATAGAGAAATGTGTAAAGAAGAAAAGATCTACTATTAAATAAATAACTAATTAGGAAAAGTCTTTGCAACTTCTTATATATTTTTACTATCTTTGGTAGAAAATTTTTCATACGAATAATTAAAAATGCAAGTACACCAATATAAAAGTGAATAATATTAATAGAAAGGCAATTCTATCAAAGTAGCATAGTATAGTATAATTCACCAACCGCATGAAGATGCACGTACAGAAATGTGTATTGCAATATGGTTAATAATGACAAATTTTAAATAATTAAATATCAAACAATATAAAGTTAACCAAATTATGCTATATTCTCATACAACAAAAATTATTAAACATGAAGATTCCCAATGTATATATTAAAAACATTAAGATTCCAAATGTATATATTTAAAACAATACCAATGTCATTAAATGTCCTAATTTTTGTATGCCTTCTAGATTTACGATTAAAAATAATATATGATGAAAATCATTGAAAATAATCTTTGTCTATACATTTGATTAATTTTTAGGATAAATTCCAAGAAGCGAGTTTACTATCTAAATGTAAAAGATACTTTGGGGGTTATTGATAAATATTGATTGACTGGATTGTGAGAAAGAGAAGCACAATAATATGCTCTGTTTGAATAGTACATTAAGTGTAAGTTTATTAAGTGTGACTAGGACTTTTGATCATCTTTGATCTTAAATTTTAGTTTATTGTTTTCCCTTTGTATAGGCCTTATTTTGATGAAAAATAACATAATTTATTGCATGAACAGTTTTTCTTGATTCATTCATTGCTAATACTTTTTTTTATAATTTCATTTTTCTGTGCTTCCAGACGTGGGTTGGCAATAAGAGAAGAAAAATGAGTACTAAGAATTCTGAATCAGGAGCAACAACACCGAGAACTGTTTCTGGCACCTCTTTGGCAGTTCCAGATGTTACAGGCAGAAATGTGGTTAATATTGCTCGACCCCCAAATCAACAGTCATCTTGGACATCTGGCAATAATGATGTCATTCTCACTGGTATATATAGTCCAACCAGTTCATCGAATAGGCAAGGGACAACCAAACATACAAATATACAAATCCCAGAAGCACACAAAATCCCTATTCAGAAAACTACCAGTAAAAATGATACTGAGTTTCAGTTGCACATACCAGTTCAAAGACAAGTAGCACACTGTAAAAATGCCTCCCTGCTCCTAGGAGAAAAAACAATTATTTTGTCAAGACAGACAAGTGTGCTAAATGCTGGAAATTCAGTATACAATAACACGAAGAAAAATTATGGAAGCTCTTCAGTGCAAACTTCTGAAATGATGGTACCCCAAAAGCCATCTGTGTGCCACCGACCTTGCAAAATTGAACCAGTTGGGATTCAAAGAACGTATAAGCCGGAACACACTGGTTTGGGTTCACACAACTCATGTGGACAAAAGTCAATTATTAGAGACCCTTACTGTAGGACACAAAACTTGGAAATCCGTGAAGTATTTTCATTGGCAGTTAGTGATTATCCTCAGAGAATTCTGGGAGGAAATGCCTCTCAGAAGCCTAGCTCAGCTGAAGGAACTTGTTTGTCCATTGCAATGGAGACTGGGAATGCTGATGATGAGTATGCCAGAGAGGAAGCGCTGGCATCCATGGGAGCACAGACACCAAACTACTCAAGGTTTTATGAAAGTGGAAGTTCCCTTCGACTTGAAAACCAAAGTACAACTTTGTCTGGGCCAGGAAGAAGCATGTCAAATTCACAAATGGTGAATATTAGAGATTTGTCAGACAATGTACTGTACCAAAACAGAGACTACCACCTGGTACCACGGACCTCATTACATTCAGCATCTAATACAATGTACAGTAATGCACGGAATAGTTTTTCCCCACATTTTGCATCATCGAACCAATTGAGGTTATCACAAAACCAAAACAATTACCAGGTAATGTGTCAATTTATTTTGTAAAGAGTTTTTAAAATAATATTTGATTTTTAAATAATGTGTTGTATTCAATCAAACTTAGAGTTTGAATCATTAACTCACCTTGTGGGATGTTCACTTCATAGTAATAGATTGGAGTCAAATTCATTGAATAATCTTGCACTTTCTTATTTTGTTTTATAGTGGTGTATTTTTTTCTCTGAATATAATCATTTTCATAGCATAGAAATTCTCCTCTATCATTCAAAATTATTTTGCTCATGAAATGGTGGATTTATGGTAAGCATGGCATTACTCATCATTAAAATAGGGTTGAATTAGCTAGACTCATTCTCTTAATCAGAGATTATTTCTTTACTGGATTTTACTTGTATTTTTGAGGACATGCCAGTAGATGAGTAGTGCCCTCCATAACTACATAGCCAAGAATGTTAATAATTTCTGTAGGTGCTGATGACTGAGATATTAATGCTTGCAATAACACAACCGCTTTTTCTCAAACAAATGCTTTATGAAAATTTTAAGTAGAACACTAATCACATAGTCTTTTAAAATTTTTACAAGTAAGCTATTTTAGAACTGTCCACAAGATGAATATTACTTCTTTACTGTTGCACATATTCTATCATTTAGATATTCCTCAAATAATCATTTTTAACAATGAGGTATAAGACTAGAACATATCTTAAAATCATAGATCTTCCTATATTATTCCTTTTTAAAATTTTTCAGAGAAATTGAATAACAGGACACGGGGGCTTCTTATTTTGCCTTGTTACTGGGTACACTTTTAAATCTGTCCAGTCACAGTATTTAAAGTTGATTGCATTTAAGATTCTTCCAGGATGCTCTCAAGTAATTTAAGGAACCAGTTTCATTTAACTCCCTTTATTTTATAATCAAAACCTTCAACATGAAGAATATAAATTCAAGAAATAAAATAGTGTAGGAAGTATCTTGTGGTAGAATTAAAATAATTTAACAACCAACCGGTTCGCTGTCCTAATGACCATTCTAAGTATGAAATTTTTAAGTATACCGAAAGGTAGTTTATTATTTCGTACAGTTAATACTTAAATAAAAACAATAAAATAAGTACACAAGATTAGATCATGTTATAAGAAAGTTTAAAAATATGGATGTAAAAACATTAAATAATCCCTGACCAAAAGAAACTGTCATTTAAGATATTTCCATATTACTTCTTGATTGGCATCCTCATTTGCATTATTCTTTGCTTTTATCCGAGCATCATGGGCTGTGTGATTTATCCTTAACCATCTTTTCACTGATGGAGTAGGATCCATTCCTTTAGAGGTAGGCCAATTAGACAATAGCCATTGTGTTTGATATATTAGAAACAGGCAACATCTCTGAACATATTATGTTCATCTTTAAATGATCCCTCTTCACTTCTACTGAATTTACAGTAATTGTTCTGACAATATATTAGTTTTTTGGACACTTTCAGGCATGGCATAATTCACTCATAGTATTTCTTGAGAATTTGGGACATACACAAAGCTTAAACAAATGACAGCATGTCACTCTCTTGTTGTTGGGCGCATTTTTTCTTTACCGTATATGTTTTCTGAAGTAACAAACACAAGGTAATAAAAATGTAGTATTTAATGAAAAGTATAACAAGTTTTATGAAATGAATATTCCATCTAACTTTTTTATACTTATGGACAGAATGAGCATTATTACTGGTGCTTAGACTATGCTGTTGTATAGTTAAGTGTTTAAAAAGAGTAAAGAATGTAAATTTATGATTTACACATTGGGCAGCTACCAAGCTGCCCACCTTAAAGAGAACCCTGATTACAGGTACCATTTTAACAACCAGTTCACAAAACTTTAAAAATAATTAGATATTTGCTCTGCTGAACTTGTGCTAACTGGCTGAATCCCACCACTGGAAGTAGCCCTGCTATCTGGGCCTCCAGCAGAAAAGAATTTTCATTATCATTCTTAGTAGTCATTTTTTAAAAGAGAATCTACTTATTCTCCTATGTTTTCTCATTCCTAAAGAATGCTTAAAACAACATTGAATTATGCTATAAGATTCTCCTAAACTCCTTTTCATTCATCTATTCTTATTTTTTAAAAATATTTTTATTGGGGGCACATTTGTTACCATCATCATTTTCAAAACATTTTCTTTCTACTTGAGCCCCTGATATTGGCTCCTCATTTTCTTCCCCCCTCCCCCCTCCCTCCCTTATGAACCCTAGATAATTTATAAATTTTTATTTTTTCATGAATTACACTGACCAATGTCTCATCTATTCTTTCATGTTTCTTTACCCCTTCTATGTTCTGGGTAATGATTGTAACAATACGATTTACCATTTTTGAGGGCCTACTCTGTGCCAGACATCATTAGGCTCTTTATACATATTCTATCTCACTTAAATTTCATGATGATCAGGATAGATAAATCTGCTATAAAGATTTTCATATCCAGGATCAAACACATAGCAAATGCTAATCAGAATTCCCATTCAAAAATCTATCCTTTTGGTTTGTTATTCTGTTCCTTCACTATAAAACCTAACCTTTCCCAGCCATATTAAAATATCAGTAAAACACAGAGTACAGACTTTAATTTTTATAAATCCACTCCTTAAGAATAATTTAACCATTTTTAGTTTTATATTTTTATAGTCTCTTATTTTTTCCTTGCAGAATTTTACAGTGATTACATTTGCTTTAAATATGAGGTGAAATAAAATGTGCACGAATTGTTGAATGAAAAACTGTTCTGCTCTGTAATCCTTCACCAATTCACAAGAAAAGTTCATTAAAAATTAAATTTAGAGCATTAGGCTTAGAGTCAATTATACCTGGATTCAAATTCAAACCCTGGTATTTTCTACTTTTTTGACCTAAGGCAAGTTACTCCACTTGTACTCATTGTACTTTAGTTTCCTTTATTTTATAATATGGTTAATAATATCTACTTTACAGGAATGCTATGAACATGAAACAACATAATATTGGTAAGGTTCCTTGTATCTTCCTTGGCACATGAACTTTCTTATACATGACTGCATAGCTTGAAAATTAATAAAACTTTAATAGTTCGGGTCCCCTTTACATTTACCTTCAAATAAAATATTGCAAAGCTCACAATTACCACAGGGCAACTGAGGAAGAAATAACATGCAATGATGGCTGGGGGAAGACTAAAGAGTATCTGATCTTAATCATAATTTATTTATTAAACACCCATATGTCCCTGATTATATTATATCAAACTACCTGCAGTAGATAGAACTGAAACAGTACTAAGGAAAGTGTTTACAGTAATTTCTTTGGATATAACTTTGCCCTACTTTTTAAAAAATTAGTTGAGCACTAGCGAAACCAAGGCAATTAGAGGAAGTGGAGTTGATGAAGCATACAAGATGAAAATGAAGATATGTTGCCAACTCTTGTTTGATTAGGACTAGAAGAATAGAATTAATGCCCATTTTGGTAATTTTCTAGTTATAAACCTAAGATGGCCATGGGAATGCAGGTAGAAATGTGAACTTAGCATGTGCAGAATCCATGCAATATTTGGGGACTACATTTCCCAGAAACCCTTGCAACCCACAGTGGAAATTCAAACTCAAACTTTCCAACAGTTTCTTTTTTGTGTGAATATTTAAAAGCCTGTTTTCAAGGTGGGTAGGCAGAGATACACCAGAGAGCTAGTCATGCAGGCTGGTGTGCTGATTTCTCTCTGTACCAGAAGATTCTTAATAAAATTTCTCTATGGGAAAACCCCATTCTGTGCCTCTCAAAGTAAATCTTATTTTGAGAAGGCAAGAACCTGAACCTCCAGTAATAAAACTGTAAGCAAGCAAGCAAGCGAGAAATCTGTCCCCCCCCCCCAACCCTGAGAATACATAATAGAGATAACTCTCCTTTTCTCGGTCATATCAGGCATTTTCAAGCCAAGGTGTTATTCTTTGAGGACAATCCCAAGCTATCTCTAGAAGGAAAACAACAAATAGAGAAAATTCTAGCAGATGCTATGAAGTTGAAATCAGCTTTATTTTGGAGCTATCTGGGAATATCATGTTAAAAATTCAATTGGTAGACAAGAAACTGGAAGAAAGTAGCTATGCCAGGATACAACAGTCCAGTTCCATTAAAAAAAAAGCAAAAAAAAGACCTCTGCAGGATAACTCACCCTCTGAAGCCAGATTACAAGCACATCGTCTTTGCAGTGCCATTTACTTTTCATGCTATTCTCTATCAGATCACCTGCTTATAGATAGGCCTTTGTGATGATTAAACTTTAAATACTAATAATCATGTCTGTGACAATATTAGACTTTTGGAAGGCAATTATTGTAAACATAGGATTAATTAATGGAGTATTATTGTGGTTTGTTAACTGACTACATTTCCATCTCACATGGATTTCAAATGGACTTGGGAGTTAATAGAAGGATAGCACTTTGTTCCCTTTAAAAGGTATTTTATAAATACAAAGTATTTCCATTAGTGAAAGTGCCTTGATAGTGTCCTCCATTTTTCTGAATTTGTAAACTTCATTTTATTTAAAATATAAACATGAAAGTTTATAGTTAAAGAAACTAAAAAAATATGGCATCCTAATGCAAAGTAAATTGTATTTTCATCTGAGGAAATAAATGACCGTATTATTGAATAAGCTGGTAAAATAACTCTATGGCAATTACTTACCATTAAAAAACATAGCACTCTGTTAGTGGAGGAAGTTACAGGGATCTGTTTTTTAAAAGCAGCTTTATTTGCATATAATTCCCATATCATAAAATTCAATAGCTCAATCATATTTAAAAGGGTTATACAGTAATCTCCACAATCATTTTCAGAACATTTACTTCTTTCTTGTACTCATTGTCATCAACACTTCACCTCCCCACTACCTCCCCTGCCATACCTCCCAAGAAACCATCAATGTAGTCACTGTGTCTATAGCTCTATCTATCCTGGACTCATATATAGAAGAACATAGA